AACGCAGCCGGCGGTGAGCAGAGGCCGCGGGGCCAGCGAGCAACGCGCGCAGCGCTTGACATTTCAGTGCAATTGTGGGCTCCTGTAGGACAGCCCATTGGGTTCAACCATAAATCACTGCTGCTTGCGTCGAATGCAGCGTCCGTCCTTGCACCGGGCAGGAGGCGGCATCAACCCCGGGGTCCCCCCGCACCCCCAGCGGTGCCGTCCCCCTGCGAAGGGCCGTGCCGCAGGGAAACCAGTGCCACAGCAGGATTCTGTGCTTTATTCACAGGACAAAATATCAGTACAACATTTTTCATAGACTTCTTTTTCAAGCAGATACATCTCACTTCCTCATGTTACACACTGCGCTGAAGTGACGAAAGGCGAAGCGGTGTGGCCGGAGCCGTGCCGCCCCAGCACCGTGGCGGGACGTGGCCCATGGGACAGCCCCACGGCCACAGTCGGGGGTGTCCGGGAGAGCCCGTTTGCTCTGGGACACAGCGGAGGGACATGCCTTGGAGCAGCCTGTGTGCAGGCTGCGGGACGGGGCCATCACCGTGGTCCAGGGACCACAGGGCAGTAAAAGCAAATGGGACCCCACAGAAAAAGCCACGGCACCGCTGGCCTGGCGGGACACTGTGCCTGCTGGGCACCACTCCCTCAGCACCTGCAGCAGGACTCTGCGTCTTCCCCCGTCTCGGCTCGCCCTGGAGCATCCCAGCTCCCAAGGGCTGGGGAAGCCCCTCGCCTGCCTCTGCTCACGGACTGTGGGCAGGACGGGCTGGCCGGGTCTATAAAAGTCCCGAAGCTGCTCGATCACCTCGGGGTCTATCTGCACGTGAGTCCTGCCTTTGGACTTGCCCAGGCAGCGAGGCAAGCCACTGCTCTCCGACTTTTTCAGGCAAGGAAAACCTTTCGTCTTGTTGAAGTAGAAGTGCTTGTCCGTGATAACCCGTTTGATGCCCAGGAAGTCCTGGACTTTGCCCATCTCCCCGGCTGGGTCCGTGATCAGCTTCTCCCCACTGACAAAGTGGATCTGGGAGAGGGGGAAGTACTGGAGCCAGCTCTCCAGGTGCACGGCATACATCCCGATGCGGATGGCGTTCCAGGAGGTGTCCACCAGCCCCAGGCTGCGGTTGCGGAAGGACAGCCCCTCGAAGGTGGGGATGTCCGGCTTCTTGGAGAGCGTTTGCGTGTAGTCCGAGATGGCCCGGGTGACTGGGTTCCTCACCACCACGATCAGCTTCGTGTCCCGAGACATGTTGAAGATCCGTCGCGGTGCCTCCTTGGTGACGAAGTAGCTGGGGGTCTTCTCCACAGTGATCTGGCTGTCGAGCGTCCGCGGCATCAGGCTCCTGCAAGTGAAGCAGAAGACGATGGTGAGGAAGGAGCTGGGCCAGGCACCAGGAGATGTTGTCTGCAGCGTGGGGCTGGTGGGGTGTCCCCTCCCGGGAGGACAGGGCAGGCACAGCTCCCTCCTGCAGTGCTGCAGAGCCCCCGGCCATGGCTGCGTGCCGGGTCCATCCCTGCCCTGGGGACCCCCGCGCAGAGGAGGGGGCACCGGCAGGCCCGGCACCCCCGCCCGAC